CAACACTCTTCGCAATCAAACAAGAGAAGTCTACACTATCAGATAAAAACATATCGAGCGACTGGGAAAGCAAGAAATGGCGCAGTTTACAATGCAGGTAATTGATCATAAAATATTGCATTAGTATTTGCCTTTTTACACTCGAATTTCTGCGCTTATTTAACACGGAGTAGGATATATACTATGATAAATAGTGTTACAAACAAGTTACATACTTGGTAAAACTTTTCTGCCTTTTGTTTTGGCTCAAAATGCACTACGCGTGGTAATACACGGTATTGTTTATAGTCATGAGATTGTGTTTACCCAGCCAATGACGTCAGATAATCTATTTTGTGGCATAAATTAGCATACGCGCTTATTTTCAAAATGGCGGACAACTGTTCAAATTTTCTCAAATTCAATCAAATTTTCTCAGCAACTAAACGCGACAAACCGGCCAAAATATGAAATTAAATATTCCATAAGTATACCTAATAGATATACGTAATAAAAATTTTGGTTGCCAATGTCCTTTAAGCCAAATACATGGCCCTTCCAATTATTATCAAGTAAAACGACGCCATTTCCCTTTCACACTGACACCGCTGGAAAAAACGAAGCCCGCGCTTCCGGGAGCAAAATGCATAGCAACCGACCACCGTGAAGTTCTATATCACGTGATTTTAATCATTTAAAAATGTTAAATTGATTTGTATTGTAGCATCTGCAAATATGTAGCTCGTTGTACAAAAGCTGGCAAAAAGGTCTGCATTTTACAATCTGGGTGCGGACTATAACGGGAGCGAAGAGACTTACATAATAACGAGAACTACATAATAATCAGAAAATACAGCTCTAATAATCTAATATTGCTCCTCAGTAAACCCGGGTGGGCTCCTGTCAGTCCTGTGCAATAAATGATGGAATGTCGTCGCATTCCTACGTTTTGACGACACGAAAACACGTGTTGTTTTCAGGCGAGCGGCCGGAATCATTGAAGGTTTTAATTTTGGCAATACCCATAGTATTAACCAAGCATAATGTTTAAACAGTCCAAAGTATGCCGGTTTAATCATGCTTGTCCAACATATTGCACTTGTATGTGGTTTTTCGTTGGAGAATCCCATTTATGTGAGCCAATTTAACATGGCAAGATTGAGAATCATCTGTCTTCGTCATTAACTCCGTAACGCATCCCAGATGCAGACAATGATAACTGTAACGGTAACATAATCTTAATAGACGTGCGTGATGGGCCACAGGCACACGGACAAACAAAGTAATATTCAATTGACTCCCCACCGTAGCAAAGAGGGAAATGGTATTTAGGTTATTACTGTTGACACAGAAAAACTGCAGGACTCTTCAAACTTCCACGCGGAACTGATGGTCGTGGGACGTGTCTCAAACGTCGTGGGCCGTGCGTTGACAAGCAACGCTGCTGGAAGGGTAGCTTCACAAGTCAAAGTATGTATTGTTCCATTCACTCCCTACTGTGGAAACAGAGAAATCGGTAATAATTTATTGTCATGATCATTAGATTATTAAATTTAAAAGGTTATCGTTGCATATGGATATTAAAACAACTGGTAAATAGAAGTTATTTGAGCTCATTACTTAGTGAGCAGACGTCTTGTACGGACCCTAGCTCTCTGATACAGACACCTTTCTGATATGGACATCTCTCTAATACGGACACCTCTCTAATACAGACATCAGACATCTCTCTAATACGGAGATCTCTCTTATATGGACACTTCTTTAGTGCCGACGCCTCTCTGATACGAGCACCTCTCTAATACTCTAATACTGGCACATCTTTAGTATGGATATCTCTACAATACGGACACCTTTCTAATACACTAATACGGGTATTTCTCTAGCACTATTAAATATTTTGACACCTCTCTAATATACGGACATTTCCCTAATACAGACATCACTCTAATACGGACAACTCTCTAATACGGACCCCTCTCTAATACAAGCGGATCTCTAATACTGACATTTCTTTCATACAGACGCCTTTCTAATACAAGCATTTCTCTAACTCTAAGACGTACACCTCTCCAATACAGACATACAGCTTTCTAATACGGACATTTCTCCCGTATACAGAAATCTCTCTATAAATATAAACATTTATTTGTTTATTCATCTACTTTGTGAAATTTGACAGGTTAGCCCCACAGACCTGATTGCTCCTCTATTGGTAACCAAAAGCAACACGTAGAAAAAATACAGTATTTGCTTACAATTCACTATTAACAGTAACAACACATTACTAGACTGGACAAGGAATGAATGACACTTTATGAATACGTTTTTTACACGAATGACACTAGCTTTACAAATGTTGTTATAAACCTCTCTAATACGGACACCTCTCTTATACGGACACCTCGAGCTCTGTCTGATACAGACACTGTGCGCTGACTGTATTAATAACAATTTATTGCATAACTCGGCTTGTGTTGAAAATTGACATATGTAAAGCCCTTGTAGCGTACAAGTGGCGTGATGTAACTTGACGAGCATGTCAGCATGCACTTGACCTTTGCACTTGACCTTTGCACTTGACCTTTGCCTTTGCACTTGACCTTTGCAACTTTAATGAGCAGGCAAATTTCCTCCCCATGGAAACGCGTCACAGCAAACAAATGCCACCTTTTTTTTCGTGCCTAAATATGATCAAATTGATCGTGCAGAGACTCACGGTGCTCAGTTGATTTTATTTCCAACAAACGTCAATGAGGTTACGGAAATGCGTCAGGATAAATGTTCCATGCATCTGAACATGTTTAAAAGAAACTTTTACCTCAGGAAATATGGTATCTATGCTTGGCTTAAACACTGATCCTATATTCGCACCTAGATCTAGAGATATATGGCCAAACCCTTATTTAACAGCCACGTCGCTTAATTAAGCGGACACTCTTTGTAAGTTGTAGTTAAAATATGAGCGACCGAGCGCGCAGCGCGAGCCCAGGCCCTGCGCGAGCCATTGTTAAATGCCCTGATAACGATCAGTTGCGAATATTTAAACAAACCTGTAAAATTAATTTATTTGTTTACTTTAGTAGTATTCACTGATGTCTATGCATACAATCTCGATTATCTAGTGATGCATGCGTTTTGATTCTAATACTGATGTCCTGCTTCTGAATTAGTATTCATAAGTCATAACTTTCATAAACATCCCTCTAACATGACTTTCCGATCTTACATAAATACCGCGCCTATTTGCAGCCTTATTAATTATTCATGAATTTTACAAGCCGACACAAACCTCTGGCCGCAATTTAATAAAAACTAATCTTAATCGGTTCTTCTTAAGACCTAGTAAGGGTCATATAAAACTTTATCTATACCGGCTATAGCTCTATCAGTTCTAAACTGCTTCCACGAGATATTCAGTGAGTGACAACCTAGCTTTATTGGTACAGTGTTACTACTGCAGGAGGAAACCTAAACCAAACGAATTTTACCCTGGATAGCTCTATCAGTTCTAAACTGTTCTCCCAAGGGCCAAGAGATCTTGTAAACATCATCCTTTATTGTTCTAGTGTTACTACAGGAGACCTGAGCTAAACGTATTTTATCAGGTCTAAACTGTTCTTCCTAGAAATGCAGTAAAGGTAATCCTTTATTGCTCCAGTATTAGCACAGGACTAAAGCTTGTAGAACAGGAGGAAATCTAAATTATACACGAACTTAATTAATTAACGGAAAAAATTGAGCTTTCCATTAATTAATTGTGTTTTTTTTTTATTTTTCAATGTAAAATCTGAACTCTTATACCATCATTGGTTATTATAGATTTCCATGCAGATGGTAAATTGATAAAAAAAGCATGATATTTAATGTTTACCACTAATGCATGGTACTTTATTTTTTCCTGTGCACAGGAAAATTACTATTGATGGTAAATATTAAATATCACGGTTTTTACCAATTTATCATATTGGAAATCTATAATGGAAAGAATTCAGTTTTTACATTCAAAAACCATTAATGGAAATATACTTTTTTTCCTGGATAGCTCTGTCAGCTCAACAAAACTGCACTCCCAAGAAATCCTGTGAAGGTCATCATTCATTGCTTCAGTGTTACTACACTAAACCTAAGCTAATCTAACTGTATTTATACCAGTTCGGCAGTTCCCTAGCAACCCTGCAAGGATCACATGCAAGGCCATTGATCCTTTATTTTTCGTGTTTTCCAGCGCTACTATACGAGACAAAACATACGGCTAGAGCCTAGAGCTTGCCAAGTGAAATTAATTGAAAAAACACTTTTTACATGCGACTACCATCTGACAGTGTTTGGTGAAATACCGCCATTCCAGAACTGGGGGTTACTGCGTAAAATTCAGGCTATATTCGGTAACAGAGTTTTAAAATGCAAAGCAGCACGGATAAGCGTCAAAAATTACGCAAATCCTGCTCAAAGCGTTTGACAATAAGATGTAGAGCTTTAATCTTTCCGCTTTCCACTTGCAAATGTAAACATACCAGACACAAGCACTTGCAACGAACAAGGTCACGACCGGTTTATTAAAACATAAAATTATATATTTAAATATGAACCATATGCACAAAATATGTCGACTAGACTATGTACAATTTACAAATAGATCCAAGTATATTGGCAAGTTCACGTTTTCAAAAAGCACCAGGGTTTTTAAAGTTTTCCTGGCTTGTCAAAACAAAAAACACATTAGATTTACAAGCATATAGATTTTGTTCGCGTTGATATCATTTTAAAGTTTCGTGAAAAGATAGCAGGGTGTCTATCGAGTTTATCCGGCCATCAACAGTGTAAACTATATATAGACCTATAGTTATCAATACAATAACAATGTATTTGGCAAATAACTGTAGGAAGCTTGGTTAGATATCCTTGGTTAGATAATCTTATAACACTCCCACAAAATTTGGATAAAAACTCGCCTTTGCCTACGATTTTCAACTTGTTTTGACTGTTAAGTCTGTCTGCAAATTAACGTTAGAAATCCATGCCCAAAGTATCTATAAACTAAGGATTTACTCAAAATAGACTTAACGAAAATCAATAAATGCTTGCTGCCACCCAACGGATTGATAGAATTCAAATACTTGGTTGTCTTTGTTCCATTTTATGCTTACATGAAAATGTGAATTGGGTAGCAGCAATTGCAATTTCGTAGTTTTGGTCAAAACTGCCTAAAAAGATATAAAAGTTAATCTTCTTCAAGCAGCTCAGACATAAACCATGGCGGCTTATTCTAGAATACTACCTACGCAGGACCCCAAAAGTTTGATTTTTGAAATTTTAAATTTTGTTTAATTTAGGATTATCCACCGGATAGCCAGAACCCTAGCCTCGTTTCTATGCGATTCAAAACCTTTAATTTGCTAGTTAAGACCCTTACAAACTACGCCAGCTTGCCTTCTTTGATAGAAGGTAACAACTCGCCCATAGCAACTGTAGTTTCGTGTGATTTCTCAACAGTCTGTAACCAACGTAAGATCATGGTATCTTTGGCGTCGACGTCTTCATTATCGCTACAGATTTCCTCTAACGACTCCGCGCTGTTTGGCCGCTTTTGAAACCCAGAATTCCTTTCTAAAAGGTCATCCTTAAGCTCGGAAGGCGGCCTCGGACTGTTCGATCTGATTTTCAACCTGGGACTCGGCGTACTGCTAGAGAAACACGAGTCACTGCTGCTTAGACTCGCCTGTCGACGTCTGCTTATAGCCAAGTTTTCAATACCCGTTCCCACTTCGACCAACGGAACCAAATCGAGATTGATTCGGTAGTTCTTCGGAAGACTTCCAGAGGATTGCTTGCGGTTTGAGTGAACTACCAGAGGAGTTAGTGGCCGGTGTTTTCGCTCAGGACAATCACTAGACCTTCTAGGCTGGTTAATTGGCGGTAATTCTGCTTTGTATAACTCCGGTGCGCTGTTCAGACGCGTCAGCCCTTTGTGTCCAGTTCGTTTAAATATTACTCCCCCTTGGCCTTTGTCTGTGTTTAAACGTCGTCCGTACTTTGTATAACCATTAAGCGGAATCATTTTGTCGCGAGTTTCGATTCCTTGTCCTTCAAAATATCTCTGAATACTAGCCTTGTCTTGTGTACATGTCTGAGACAGCACCGCCGCAGAGTTGCCTCTGGCGATCATATTTTTTTGATGGTATAAAATAGCACTCAAGGTCAGCGCGTAATTAAAAATAACAGAAACAACCAGACACCGAATATTGGGTTAACGGAAACACTTTTAACTTACTGATGCAAACGTAAGCGAATAAAGTAGATAGCAAAATAACTTAGTACAATACCACTGCTAAAACATGTAACACTGATTTACCAGTAATGGGCAGCAACCAAGAGTCTGTTATAAGCTGTTGAAAGTGAACCACGTATAAATAGTACTGTTGATGCCCAAGGTAAAAAATTGTGTATATAATACCACTGAATACGACAAATTAACTTTATAACAACCATATATATATATATGCACCAATAATTCCACCGATTTCCAACCGGTTAAAATCAACACCAAATCTTGTACAATATGAATAGAATAAGACACAATAACAGGACTATTCCAAAGTTCAACCTCGAAGTAATTTTTGGAAATGTGAACTTACTGACAGTGTAGAGTGTATTAGAGCTTGAGAGCTGATAACATATATTAATACCCCAAACATTTCGTTTTTGTCCAATCATAGTAAAGTTCCGCTTATGCTACTGTGCACGTGTAAATTGCGTGCATTGTAAGCTCATTGCGTAATCGATGTCTTCCAGATTAACACAGCAAGGTGGGTAGAGTGATCTGGACTGTCGATTGTGGATTCTGGTCAATGTTAGCCCGTGTTGATTCTTCCAACTTTGTGTTTGTTATAAAGGAAAAACTCACCCGATCAGGGGGCAATTTAACCTGCGTTACAGTCTTACAGACCTTCAAGGTCATTTCTATTTTGTCTTCATCTTGTGCCTTTATAGTAAGTACATTTTTGTAGTAGGTAGGCGGCATCTATATTTCTTGCAGTTATGGGCTCCTGCCCACACCAGTTTTTCTTTTGTGGGCTCCTATCAACACGTTTTTTTTAATCTTTTCCTATTGAACTGCCATATATATTGGGCTAGTATTCCAAAGGTCGTAGGTTCGAATCCCACCGTGGCCGGGCATATTTTTCAAGCTCGCCCGGTGTGGCGGATATGCACTCAGAGTAACATCGCAAACATGCCATATATTGTTGATAAAAACGTGGAATTTCAGGTTCACTTATAGAAAACTACCAACTTGCATCACTTTATAAAGAAAGAAATTATATATACGTATATTAAGCCGGACATTTAAACGGTTACCTTGATTTTTCAAGCCGGTGTAGTCGAGTTATATATATTGCTGTTCCAAATGTGAAAATATTTATATAGGCGAAAATCGCAAAAATCCTGAACAGCTATGAAACTTTAGACTGCAGAAAATTGCACAAGCAGTTATCAAACCGTCATAGTGTCACACTGAAGTGGTAAAGGACATGTGTGACAACTGAATGGGATCCTTTTGTAACGTTTTTGAGCAGGGGTGGGTATTTTTCAATTAATATTTTAGGTTAGGTAAAAATTTTTTGGATCATCAAAATTTTTACCAAGAAAAGCATTTCTCTTCGGTGCCACCCCCGCTATAAATAATGGCCGGCCCCTAAACTTATTTTATTTATCTCTGCAAACCGTGCTAAACTAACACAATCATTCCTTAATGGTCTGGTGTTCCTATATGGTGAGATGGTGGTTAACAGGGTGGTTAATCTATGCCAATATGATTGCGATCGCACGATCGCTTGAGTCCATTCTTTCCGTAAAGGAATACTTCAAATAAACATGAGTCCACTCAACATTCCAGTCCTTATGACGACATTCGTCAGCGTATTAGCTAATCCTTTTACGACGGAATTAAAAGTACGCACATTAAAATACATTAAATACCACACAGTGTGTTGAATTGGCACAGTCGAGGCTCGTCAAGCAATTTGTCACTCAGCAATTACCAAAGTTTACGTAAATAGACCCATTTACTTAAGATATATCTATGTTTATCGAAGTATCAATGAACAATAAAGCTTATCCGGGGACGTCTGTTCAGAGAAAATTCGGCTTTGCATTTAAGTGCGCAAATAAGTGGAGTCCGGTTGTGGCCATTCCTGGTTCGCGGATCAAAATGTCGTGATTCGTGGGTATTCATTGTGGACGGTTTTACCAATCAATATCGCACTACAGGCACTTAGCAGAGGGATAAAATAACGTTAATCTTTAATTAATATGCAGTAGCCAAAATATACATAGTTCATGGCCTTTTTTTAACTATAAAATTCCAAGTGGATAGCATATCCCAGACTGTATAAATTTGAGTTGTTGGAAGGCTACTATAGGCTAAATAATTTAGTGACCGAGTGTGGCATTTACATAAACATACCATGCAAGTACTTTACTGAAGATTCAGTCAATCTACAGTATAATGTGACGCTATATAGTCAAAAATCTGTTTCAAAAAACACGCAAAATGCCAGTCCTAGGGGCGAATAAATACAAAAAAATTCTGGGGGACAATACCCCCACATGCACCCCTTACTATTACATACGCCACGCCATCAATCTTTTTGTCACCAACAACCATCTGTTAATTAATATCTCTCTACACTCAGTATAGTATGGTCCTTTTTGTAGATGCCCCCCTCACTAATCTCATACTATGGAAAGATATAAACCGCTCGCGAAGAAAAACTTAGTGATAATTTCATATTGTTCCGGAGATGTTGCAAGAAGCAAATATTTTCTTTGCTACAGACAGTTATGTAATGTCGCGTGTAATGTCCTGCCGGGTTACGTCAACGGATAATAACTTGGTCATGTATTCGTGAATTCCATTTCTTATCTCTGTTTGACACAGTGGTGGATAGAATAGCCTGCGTGGCAGGCCCTCAGTTTTATGGGGGCCTGATTTGCAACGGCCCCCCATAAAACTGAGAGCCTGCTACGCAGGCTATGAATGGAATGAAATATGCAACTGTAGTATAGGCAGGGACGCCGGAACTGGGGGGGGGGTGGCTGCCCCCCTTGCCTTTTGCTGGGGGGGCAGGGGGGGGGGCAGAAGTGCCCTTTTAGTTGTAAAATAGTAAGTGATAAATCACATTTCCAACGATGCTTTTTGTGGGAAAATCACGAGATTCAGGTAATTTATAGTTTATATTTATAAAAATTTGGAATTTAGAAAAATGTTTTGAAGAAATGGCGAAAATTTAAGATATCCGGAAAAATTTTTGGCCTCACGGAAAATTTTTGTATGTCCGGAAAAATTTTTTGACCCCTAAAATGGTACACTGACCGAAATTTTTTGGCGACGGGGGGGGGGTCGCCAAAAAATTTTGCAAAGAAAAAAAAATTTTCAGTAAAGGTGCCCTTGGTGTGCGTCCACCCCCCTTTGCCCTATTATCGTTCCGGCGTCCCTGAGTATAGGCCCTCTGGCAGGAATCGAACCTGCGGCCCTGCGATTCCAGTGCAGCGCCTCTAACCAACTGAGATACAGAGTCTAGTTGTTGAGGTCTAACCACAAGTTCATGTATATACAGTCTATTCAAAAAAGGTTGTCCATTGCAAATCTTAAATTCTAAACTTTAAACGGGAGAACTAGCCTCCTCCGCAGGCAACTCTTGTGGCATCCCAAATGGCAAACTTTTGAAAAATCCCCATCCAAAAAGAGCAATACTGTCGCGAACGGCGAATTAATGTTGTTTTGGCCGAGTAGTAATAAAATTAAGGGGATTGGGTCGGGGGAAAGGCGGAAATTTTATCCCCCAAGATCCCCCTTTATCCGCCTTTCCCCCGACCCAATCCCCTTAATTTTATTACTACTCGGCCAAAACAACATTAATTCGCCGTTCGCGACAGTATTGCTCTTTTTTGATGGGGATTTTTCAAAAGTTTGCCATTTGGGATGCCACAAGAGTTGCCTGCGGAGGAGGCTACGGGAGAACAAGCTTCAAGCTCAGTAGTTGAATATTGCAGCTATTTTTGAATGAATTGTTCTCGAGCTCGTAAGGAGATATTTCATATTTACCTGAAACTAGTAATTAGTACCGCAAGTCAGCCTCGTACCCAGGCGCTGT